CAGGGGGCCTCGATGGCCAGTCCATGACGTTGATTCCAGCGTTTTGAAGGACATTTTGTGTCAACATCGCAGTATGTGGCCGAGCATTATCATGCTGGAACTGCAGACCTGGGCCATGAGCCGCCATGAAAGGAACGAGGTCAGGGGTGGGCACCTGGTCGCGGTAAGCAGCAGCTGTGAGGTTGCCACGGATGAAAAGAAGTCGGGAACGGTTGTTCCCACAGAGAGCACCCCACACCATGCAACTTCCGCCCCCTAATCAGTCGACTTCCTGTACACAACATTGGGCATACCGTTCATGACGTCGTCTCCAGACTCTTTGCCTGCCGTCCGCGAATCTGAGGGTAAACCTGGATTCATTGCTAAAGACGACTCGATTCCAGTCTCTCTGGGTCCATCGGAGGTGACGTTGGGCCCACAGCAGACGTTGACGTTGATGAAACGGCGTCAATATTGGCCCACGATATGGACGTCGAGAATGGATATTGGCAGCCTGCAACCGATTTCGAATGGTCTTTGAGGACAGTCGACCTCTAAACATTTCAGCCCTGGTTCGTGTAGCCTGCAGAAATCTGCCACGTAGGTGACGTAGGACGATTTTCTTCTGCTCGTGACGTCACACGTGGATGACCCAACCTTGGGCAATGAGAAGTGGTGCCAGTCTGTTGTAGACGACCTCGCAAGTCATACACAGTACGACGGCTGCATCCCATTGCTCTTGCGACGTCAATAACTGATCTTCCTGCTTGCAACATGCCAACGTCACGTTCACGTTGCACATTTGACAATCGTGGCATTTCAAGTACCGTTAGAACTGTGGTTTAAAAGTGTTTTTTTCAATTCTTGAGGCCAATGCAAACACGTGCATATGAAGAAAACTTCGATGCGAAGATCACGTGATCGACTGCACGTGCAAAACCTGATTTGGCACTAACGTCATTTGCACGACGAATGGATGGGTTTGAGTGGGTTTGCTAACGTTTTTCCAGAGTCGAAAGATAGGGATCCCATTTCGGATACATAGATGTATCATCAGAAAAAAATATTCATTATTTTTCAAATTACATTTTGTGAAGTTTCTTTTTTGACTCGGTATATTAGCGTTACCCAGTGCTAACCACTAGGAGTGCCCATGAGACCACGAGGAAATAAAATCAACACAAACATTCCTTGATTCAGTTGAGAAGGTTGTTCTGAAATATTATGGAAGCTGTGTACCAGAGGACTATCGACAGTATTGTTTACCTGTATGTTTGCGTTCATCCATAATTTTGCATTTATTATTATTAGGAAATCACTGTGTATGGTGATATTGTATGAAATCAGTTTTATAGCTGAGATATGTATCTTTCTATTTCCCAGAGAGATCACTTCATGTAACATACATTATTTTGTAGATACTGTTTAAACAGGTGTTCTGAAACATAAGAAATCTGAATATTATTATGATTACTGAGCTTTAAGTTGTATACACTGTTTGTGTATCATGGGTTTTATAGTGTTATAAATGTATGCCAGAGGTGTAAACTAGTACAGATTTGCTTGGTGGCACTTTCATTTGAAACTAATAACAAAATTTGCTATGTATTTCCTAGAACCCTAGAAACTTCTTTTATTTGCTTAGTGGTTTGCATAATTAGCCATTATTGATTGCAAATTATCTCCCCTTATAAACTAGCTTTTTAGGCAACTGGCGATGCGCTCACAGAGCACATGTCTGAGCAACATGCAACGGTCAGAGGGAGATAGAATGTTCACAATATATTTAATGACTACTATTTCATTAATAATAGCAACTCGTGGAGTATTGCATTTATCTTTTCAAATATCTTCACATGCACGCTCTGGAAGATTCCATTTTCGAAGATGATATTGCGTAGGCAATTTGCTGTATGTTAGCAGTGTTTGTAATGGAAAGGACTGTTTAATACTTGACAGATTTATTCACGGTTCTTTAAATAATTACTTTGTACACACAATTCTGTGTTTGAGGATAGTTTCCGAATTTGAGTATCTTTTTGGAAGAGTCCATGTGTATATTAGGGTATATACCTTATCAGTTGGTACTTAGGCACGTTGAGGTGGTTTATCATTATTTTAATGTTATAATACTAATTTGCTCATATCATTTCGAGCATAGTTGGTCTGAAGTATATTATTTATATTATGTGGAGAGTATAATTCCTGTTCCCACGTGGGAGAGTCCAATGTTGAATTTGAGATTTAGTATAAATCTTGGGTTTCAGAGATGTTTACATTTGTATTCATTGGTGTATATATATTTACTATGAAAACATGGAAGTATGTATTTATTCTCTGCATTTCATTCTTTGCAGAATATACCTTGAGCTACATTAAAAGGATATTGGAAGACTCCACATTTAGTCATTGTTCATTCAAAACAAAGGTTATTTGTAAACTTCTGTTAGGAAAACTATGTGTTTTAAATCTATATTTTGGACTGGTGATTTGTGAATATTTTCATCATGAAAATAAGTACTATTGTTATAATTATCCTCTGCTCCCTCACGAAATATTCTAAGTGGACCTCCTTTATATCCATGTGCTCAAAGCACTCTAAAGCGCGACTCAGACGGGTCGGCACCTGCCGATTTCCATACATTATACTACCTATCCGGTGGTTGTAACTGATAAATTTTCCACCTCTGACACGATTCGATGTACCAATATTAGTGTCAGTCTCATAATATCTCGTTTCCATCGTTTCAAAATGTTGTTGAGTTGAGTTTTACGTCACATCGGCATTATTCTAGCCATATAGCGATGAGACCAAGTCTGCATTCATGACAATTTTAAGTACAAAGTCGAAATGATTTATTATTTAAAACATGTATATTCATTACATTACTATGTACAATTACAATACAAGTAATACGTCATTCCCAGTACATAGTATGATATCGATCAATTTCCATTAAGTAGTTGAACTGACGTGGGGAAAATAGATTTTTCAGATTACCTGCTTCATAATGTGAGTCCCTCGCAGCTGGAAAATTCACAAACAGAATATGCTTAATGGTGAACACTTTGTCGCAAGAGACACGCATAGGAGGTCCATCTCCATCGGTTTTCAACAGATAGTCTTAAAATCTTAACTCACTCACTCACTCAACAGATAGTCATGGGTAAACGACACCGTCGTAAAATTACCTCATTACGTCTTGACTGAGAACCCAAGTCAAAAAGCAGGCAGTTTGTTAGTCACATTACTCAGTTACAATTTATGATATAGATCAACTTCCCTCACCATCAAATGAGGGCTCACGCGGGAGAACAGATCTTTCATATTTGTTGCATGATAATGTGAGTCCCTTGCAGACGATAAGTCCAGCAGAATATGCTTGACGGTGAAAACCTCATCGCAAGAGGCACATTTGGGGGGTCCATCCCCATCCGTTTTCAGCAGATAGTTGTGTGTAAACCGACTGTGGCCAATACGACATCGTCGTAAAATTACCTCATCACGTCTTGACTGACAACCCAAGTAGGTACAACCAATTGTTGGTTTCGATTCATGAAGTTTGTTTCTTCCTATTTTAGTGTCCCACCTTTTTTGCATCAGGTCCCGAGTATAACTTTTGATAGTGGGTTTGAAATCACTGTACGGGATTAGCAGTGGAGATACGGGCTTGTCAAGAGCTGCTTTAGCTGCAGCATCGACTTTTGTGTTGCCTGCTATGCCGACGTGACCCGGCAACCAGCAGAGGACGATGTCACATTGCCCAGTATGTTTTTTGAAATAAAACTAATTTTGACTTTGTACTTACAGTGTGTGTTGGTGCAGACACGTTCTCGTCACTATGTGGCTCCTGCTTTTAAATTATTTAGTGCTATGACATTCCATTCTCTGCTTCTAAATGACAATGAAATGAATATATTCGGTATATCAGTTCGACAGGCCGAACGGTCTGAATCTACCTTTACATTCAAGGAAGATCGGAGAAGAACCTACTGTGTTTTGAACTTTGATGTAGTCCAACTGTCGAGTAGATGCCTCTTTAATTTAGAACCAAGCACTTATCGACTTGGGACTACATCAAACTTCAAAACACATCACCCAAATAGATCTTGCCCATTAATACAGTGCGTTCCTGGTTTGCTCATCTCTTCTGACATGTGTTTGGCCATGTTTATCAGTGAAATTTAATTTTGTGTTAGGTTAATTGTCCGACATCCTTCTGTCAGGCATGTAATATACCCATACTTTTACAACCATTTTATCAATACGTTGATTTGTCGAATGAGTAATGTCTTACTGGTCAGAGCATCCAATCTGCCAATCCATTTAAGCTGCGTTTTTGATCATTATATGCTATTATGCAAGTGTAACATTTACGAGTGTTTGGAACAGCAGGTATTGTAAATTTCAGAAACAAAGTTGTTGTCACATTTACTCCCAATTTCGTCAGTGAAAAAAAACCCAATACAATTATTAGCACATGTACTTTTTATTAAAATATATCAAAGCAAAGCCAAATCAACAAAAATAGCATAAAAAGAGTGAAAGTACTTGTAGTACGGAGAACTGAACTTGGTCTATGCACACACAAAAAGGAAAACAACTCTGCTGCACCGGATATGTGTCACCCCAGAGTTATCAGACGAGGCCATGGCCATGACTATTGCTTGGCAAACAAACCTTGATAAATTTTATGTTTGGACAAACCATTGAGAAGACTGGAGGGGCGGGCTGCATGAAATATTTAGTGTCTGTGTTTGTTTTCAAGAAGGTTAATGCGAACTACAGTCTGCTGACTGTCGAGTACATTAAAAAAAGAGTTAGTTACATTACGTTAAGGGCCTACAGGACCTCTGATTACACACTGCCATTTAATAAGTGGTCAAATGTAACATATTTTATATTTGGGATTACACTTTCTTAGTAGAGTACAGATTCTAGTACTTTTCAAGCATCTAATCGCGCCTGTGAGGGTGTGGGTTCGAATCCCGGATGGAACTCAACCCAACAAAAGTACTAGAATCTGTATTCTACAAAGAAAGTGTAATCCCAAATATAACATATGCTAAGGGACCTCATTGACCAGTTTCTGGGCACATGTACTTATGACTCTCGAATATATTAAATCATCATGAACTGTTATGTCTCAAAAAGAGAATGAAACATGTTCTTTAGACAAATGGTTGCATTACACAATACTCGTATTCACTATATAAATCTACAAATTCTAAACAATGTATAGGTGCATTATCAAGAAGCTGAATACCGATTGTGACAACATATCGAAACACATGAAATCATCCACAGATATCTTGTTAACACAGCAGTATTGATTTAACTAATTAATCAAATCTAATGAAATAAAACCGGTATCATTACTGTTTTCAGTCAGTTCACTCTTGCATTCTCAGACTGATATTTTGAGTCAACGTTCAGTGAGAACTTGATTCTTACTACACTACACTATCATGACTTCACATTTTGGCGAGTAACATTGTAAGGTATTCTCCTGAGCCTGAAGCCCTTAAAATAATCTGAATAATGATAAAAGAGATGCTTTATTCAATGTAAGCGTTTGCAATATGTAAGCTGTGAAACCCGCTTAAGGTAGAGTTTAATGCAGAATAAGCAAAATATGAATTGCAGACTCGGTTAATTGTGCAATGTGTTTTGATCCGCTACTGTGACATTTGTTGCCTCTTTTCTTCCTGTTCACACGCAACACTGACAATCTGTTTCAAGGTGTGAAGAAACAATACTGTGGACTTGGTATCACTTTGCCTCTCAACTGAGTAGTTTCGGACAACGCTGACGGCATTCTCTGGTATTCCTACTACCTTAGACATCGCCTTGATAGCCTGGTGTACTTTCCCCGACGTAAACACTTGGTCCAACTGTTTGGTATCTTTGAAGCAACCGTCCACTGTATCCAGATGGGTGAGTACCAACTGGTACAACAATACTGAAAATATCACAGAATCAGAACGTATACATAGCCACCTGGAATTGTAATCAATGGAAAGTAAGTTAGACTTTAGATACATCACAAATCATAACAAAGACTTAACATGTAGAACGGCAATTCAACGAAAACAGCGACTGAAACAGTGACAATAGACTAGTATATTAATCAGAATATCTCATTTCGTTAGATATATATTTGTGAAACAAAAAGTGCCATGACACTCTGTAGCACATCTTAATATGTTGTCAACAGATGAATCACTTGAGTGGGTGCTGTAAACTATCATGTGTACTGCATAAATACCGAGAGCTAATTTTTGGGTAAGAAACAAAAAACCTTCCTTTCAACAATGTTTTAATCTGCAGCCATTGTAACCTGGGAGGGCAGAATAGTGCCAAGCCTCTCCTGGATAGGCAGTCAGCAATTTAAAGAAAGCCACTTGACATTCCGCATGTAGTAAATATGCTCGAGGAGTAACTTGCAGGGCACATGTGTGAGTATCTTTTACACATTCGTCTTTGGAACACATGGTTAAACCGTTGTTGGCTAGCGTCATTTCAGCTTACCGATCAGACCAAACCTTACTATCATTTCAATTGGGAAGCATGATATTGACAAAATTGTCGTACCTTCTTGGAGTTAATCAATGGACAAGTCTTTGCATATTTCAAATATGACACGTGTAAACGGAAACTATTTAATGTTCTGATTCCTCAGCAGGAAATTAGTAGAGACAATATGTATGTACTGTCTAGTGCAAAACTGGTGTACCGGGCTTAGCGCTCTCCAGACCATTTTGTTTTTCTTTCCGGGGGACAAAATAGCCCCGGCTAAGCATTCTTCAGGAAATATCCATGGCCAGTTTGTATGCAAGGAAACCATTATACAAACCCAATACTAAACTACTACGTAAATATGTTTCAGCAGAATAAGTACATATAAGTACAACTTACGCTCCCATCCAAATAGTTGTGCTTTCGTTAACCTGCCCGACCAACTACTTCATTTGCAATTCAAAAGGAATAACTACACAATTGTTTATTGTGTTGAACATTTCCGCATATAGCCAAGTCCGAGGTTTTCAAAATGGATCCCATTTTGTTGAATATTTTTTCTGTTGAAAAATGGCATCCACCCTAGCACATGCGTGTACATCACATTCTGACAGCTGCAATGATATTAATGTTAGAAGCTGAAAGTTTTAGGCAGTTGTAGTAAACTATACATTGACTACGCTTGTTAGAATATTCATTCCGACAATGACAAGTCAAACACTTAGCCTTTGTTCAACGAGCTGCACAGAACCAAGGCACATTATTGCCAATCCCTATACTACTTTCACTTAAGTGGACTTTTGAAGTTTTACTCAAAGGAAATGCTTTTGTCGCATAGAAACAGCATAGAATCGCTGTTACGCTTTTACTGTCGCAAGCAAATGTTATTATATTACATTGTCCTGAAGCATGAAGACAATTTTATGGACATACAATTTCTTTATTCTGTATAGGCGACGCTTCGACATACATTCTAATGTCGCTGTCAAGCAAGTCGTACATGAGAAGTAATTTGGGTGGTTATTCCAGCTATGTGGCGGTGGTCTGTAAATAATCGAGTATGGACTAGACAATCAAGTGATCAACAGCATGAGCATCGATCTGCACAATTGGGAACTGATGGCATGTGTCAACCAAGTCAGCCAATATTCTAACCCGGAAATTTCCGGTATGCTGAATGCATGATTTCGAAACACAGATTTTAAGTCATGTGTTCTTTGAGTCTTCTTGTCACCACACGCTCAATAACCTTTTCTTCTTCAGGAGTGGAGTTACAACTCCATTTTACAATGTATCCGGCACCACACCCTCCTAAAGAGATTTATTGACAACGTAGGTCAATGAATTATCCTTAAACAGAAGCATGCTCGCTATGAACACGTCCCGCTTTGTAATAGCGTGACATGGCTGTCTCCATAAGAGAGTGAACATGATGTCTCTGGTTGTCATGCATCTGCTTATGAATTGCTAACTTGATGTGTCTTAGCTGTTTATCAAGTTTAGCCGATTGAATTTCGTCATTATACCAGGGGGATTCTGGGTGAAGAGTTACAGTACAGGACTTAAATGGAACATGATGGTCAGCAAGTTTCCTGAAGCGAGTGTCATTCAAAGTAACATATTCACTGGCACGGAGATCTGAAGAGCTAGAAATAACTATACTCATATCTAGCTGAAACTCTAGAACATCAACGTCCTTCCATTTGCAAAATGAGATGTTCTTTCTGGTCCGTCATTCAACTGAGATGTTGACACTGAATAGACACTGTAGTGATCAAATCTTACTTTACTGACCGTCAGTTCATTCTCACGCACAATCACCAGTTTCTAGAATATGCCCCTGAGTGTGAGTTGGCTCACTTGAGTTAGACTATGAGTTTCAAGAATATTGAGCAACTTCTGCGCATCTCTGTCATTTGTCTTGTAAACGTGGTAATTAACGTTCCCACATATTAAGAGCTTACCGGGTGTTGTCGTCAGAGAATCAAGAAATGCACCAAAGTCTTCAAAGAAAGTACCAGAAGGTTTTGGCGGTCTGTACAACACTATGAAGTTGAAACATTGGTGAATTGTAGTAGTGTAAGTTAAAATAAAGTATGGAGATTGGCAACTTTCAGTTTGCGAGGTACAAGTTTTTTGCTGTAGACGATACCAACACCGCCTTCCCTTGATACTTGAACAAACTTGTGAGTTTACTAATCGGGAGTTATGCGCCCCTAACGAGAAGGTGAGATTTTTTTTCCTGTGAAGAAACAAGCCTGGTAATATAATATTTTCACTAACAACACACACACGCAGAAACTGCCACAGATATCCAGTAAGGGTCCTAGCACAGATTATCATTCATGATGATAGATATTTCGCTGATTGCTGGGTCACGTCGGCATAGCAGGCAACACAAAGGCCGATGCTGCAGCAAAAGCAGCTCTTGACAAGCCCTTATCTCCACTGCTAATCCCGTACAGTGATTTCAAACCCACTATCAAAAGTTACACTCGGGACCTCATGCAAAAAAGGTGGGACACTCAAGTAGGAAGAAACAAACTTCATGAATTGAAGCCAACAATTGGTTATACCTACTTGGGTTGTCAGTCAAGAGGTGATGAGGTAATTTTACGACGATGTCGTATTGGCCACAGTCGGTTTACACATGACTATCTGCTGAAAACGGATGGGGATGGACCCCCCATATGTCTCTCTTGCGATGAAGTTTTCACCATCAAGCATATTCTGCTTGACTGTGTGGACTTATCGTCTGCAAGGGACTCGCATTATCATGCAACCAATCTGAAAGATATGTTCTCCCACGTGAGCGCTCATCTGATAGTGAACTACCTGAGGGAAGTTGATCTATATCATAAATTGTAACTGTGAAATGTGACTAAAAATTGCCTGCTTTTCAATTTAGTGCTATGACATTATCTGTTTTTAAATGACAATGTAATGACTGTGTGTCTTTGAAACAAAACCAATTTTGACTTTGTACCTACAATGTATATTAATGCAGACTCGTTCTCGTCACTATATGGTTGGAATAATGCCGATGTGACGTAAAACCCAACTCAACTCAACTCAACTACAGAGCGAGGATTGGACGTTTCAAGTACCGCGAGGGGTACGCGGCAGGTGGACCAGGTACACTACAGGTACACGCCATACACTGACAGCTCGGACATGCCCTATCGACAAACCATATACTCGTTAGTGATATCGATACATCTGATTCTCTCCTTCTCACTGATCAGGTACTGAGGACAGCTTGATACTTCATCCTTGATCTCACCCATATTGTCGACTGACTAATGTTTACGCCTGTGTGATAGTTGTGACGTCACCAGCTCAACCACCTTGTTTCCACTTTGACCTATCATATTGTGTTCCACACTCCTACCATCAAATATACACCTAGCAGGCGATGTAAACCGAGCCCAGGGCCTATGAGTAGAGAACTGGAGGAAATACAAAACAATATTTTCAAACGGATTCAGGACTCAGAGGATAGAGTTTGAGAAGAAATCCACCCAGTCAAAGAGGACATAGAATCTGTTAAGCCTGACATCACCACTCCAAGAACTGACATTGGCAACACTAAACAAGAACAGGATATACTTAGAGTTGATGTGGATGCTCTGAATGGCATTGTCATAGATACAGACAGCTACCTATGTGAGTTAGAGAAAAGGATAGAGAATCAGGAACAGAGGAGTAGAAGAAATAATATGGTGTTGATGGCATAACAGAGTCTTCAGCTAAAGACACTATACCGAAAGCAAGGCCAAGGTTCTGGAGGTACTTAACACTGCTAGAGAGGTTAAGACGTTACCACCACTAACACCAAGAGACATAGAGAGGGCACACTCTATTCTAAGAGGGAATGGAATTGGCATCGCCAATGACCTCACGGCTGCTCAGAGACAAGAACTCTATAAGAAGAGACGCAAACATCCGGACAGAAAGTTTTCTTTAAGGGGAGTAAGTTGGTGGATGAACCAAGAGAGACCACATCTAGTGAGACCCCTACTGTGTGCTCTGGAGAGAAGAGTTCTGGCCAAGGGAACAGCAGCAACCAACAGCCACAACAACACCAACGTGGACGACAACTACAACTAAAGCAACACCAGGTCTGTACCTCGTCGTTCCTCCAGGACACAACATAGATAGGGTTAAGGGCCAGGCTGAAAACATCAATAAACATTCTACAGCACTGTGTTGTGAACATAACAGTGATATACCTCAGGAAAACCCAAATATACCGGATCAAAACATTCATTTTATATTTTGGAACATATCACGGCATTATACATAAATTCTGTGAATCTGACTATATTAGCTACCTGGTCAATTTTGGTACAATAGGTTTAACTGAGACTTCTCCAAACATGCAGAACGAATTCCCAACTGTGGCAGACTATCTGGTGGAATATCTCTTTTGATAAGGAAAGAATTTAAAAAGTTTGTAGTGTGGTCAAAAATTACTGAATATGCTGTATTTAGTATGTTTCAAGACAGCCTCCTAGCAGTACTTAATGCTGTCCATGAAGATATTATATTTTATGCGGTGGAGACTTCAGTGCACGAACAGGTACCGATGCAGATTTTGTTGAAGGTGATTTTACTTGAATAAGTTGAAAATCAAAATTTCTACTATTGGATTCTTTATGTGATAATTTTAATCTATGACGTTACTCTACCAATAAGATAATAAACAACTTTGGTAGATATTTCCTTGATCTCTGCGCTGTACTTAACATTCACATAATGAACGGGCGATGTGGTTCCTACTCTAAGATTGGACATTATACTTTCATTGGTATTCACGGTGCAAGTGTGGTAGACTATATTATCTCCTCTGCATCTCTGTTTGATTATATAACTGACTTTGTGATACCATCTTGAGTCAGCACATCTCCCAGTCACTATGAAATTACGTGCGCTTCATGTTAGAGAACATGTACACATAACAACAAATATAGTAATGCTTTCAAATTTGTTTGGGATAATGACAAACTTGAATATTTTAGACACAATGTTTTATCAAATTTTGTGCAAAATCTCTTAGGAAAGTCAGTCGATTGTACGTGTATTGATACTAACATTGACTTGATTGTAGACGGCCTTTGTCTAGCAGCATCAGTTATAAAAAGAAAGTGTGGAAATATGAAAAATATTGTTAACGATTGGTATGAAGATGAATGTAGAAAACTTAAAACTGAACGCTGTAAATCACTGAAAAAGTTTAGAAAACGCAAAGATAAATCATCATTGGAACAATATAATCTATCAAGAAAGAAATATAATGCTTTTTGTAATTACGCACTGCATATTATCAAGAGAAACAGACTAATACTGAAAGTGAAGCCCATGATTTTTGTTAAATGATAACCCAAAGAGTGACCTTACAAAAGAAATTCTTGACTCTCCAAAATCAGGAGAAGATATCTTAGATAGCATAAACAACCTTAAACTCATCAAATCCCCAGGAAAAAATTATTTAATTCCAGAATATTTTCGAGTATTCTGTTGATGCTCTACTACCTTAGCTTGAGATAGTTTTCAATCTGATATTAGAAAGAGGGACATTTCGTACCTCCTGTCCGGTTGGGATAATACTGCCAGTTGTTCCTTTCCACAAGTAAGGTAATTTGAACAATGTTGATAACTACCGGGGAACCACACCCTTAAGCATATTTGGCAAAGTTTTCAGCTCAATCATCAACCAAGATTTATTTTGGGGGGAGAAACAATGAATTACAGAGTGTGATATGAAGATATTTAAATACTCAAAGTGGCTGGTTATATGCACTGTTTATTGATTTTTCAAAAGCACTTGAGTCTGTGCAAAGACATAAGCTATGGGGACTATGTAACACGAATGGACTCAGCCTTAAAATGACCAATCTGTTAAGTAACATGAATGAGAATGTTAAAGCTCGTGTCAGAAATAACACTATATTCTCTGAAACTTTTGATGAAACGTACTTATTGGAGTAAGGCAAGGTTGTGTACTCAGTCCTTTTTTGCTTCCTTCATTACTATTGAACTAGCAGTACAGATTCAAAATAATTGTTCACATGGTATCCAGTTGCATCCCGATATGTTTCATCTTTTCCTTTCATTATTTGCAGATGATGTTGTTCTCATCTCAAGTACTATTATTGGCCTACAGAAGCAAATTTTCGAACTAGAAAGATACTGTAAAAATCATGCCTGACTGTAACTATGGATAAACCGACAGTAGTTGTTTTTAAAAAAGGGGGTAAGGTATCAAAAAAAGGAAAAATGGTTTTATAGAAGCAGTACTGTAGACACTACCACTTCATATAAATACCTTGGTGTATATTTCACTAATCATGTTTCATGGTTGGTACATGCAAAATATGCATCTGTTCAAGCACGAAAGGTATTGATAGGTATACTGAGAAATATAAAAATACTTGGGGATTTAAGTTTAGATGTTGTTTTTTTAGAATATTTGATGTTAAAATCAAACCGGTTGTATGGTACGGAAATACGGGGATTTAAATACTTTGATTCCATAAAAAAGTTACATTATTTGACTGCATGAAATTTCTCGGGGTGAAGATGAGCACATCAAATGTTACGGTATATGGGGACTGTGGCAGACACCTGCTCATCATATCTTCACAAATCAGGGTGATTACATATTGGATAAAGTTATTAAGTATGCCATCCTCCCGTTTACCAAAAAATGCTATAATATGATGTCACTTTTTTGGTACCATCTCCACCTCATGTAATCTTACGTAGACTGGTCCAATCAAGGATGACCACAAGGATTTGATCGTGTAAAGTTAGGCCTACTGTTGATTAACGAAGCTGACATTTATGGTAGAATTGTGTATGCACGGAAACATTCCCATCACGGATACAATTGAAGAACTTTGCAAGTGTCAAAAGGGCCAAGATGATGAAACAGTGGCAACGGCACGAGAATTGACGCGTTGGAGATCAGACCCCTGCAAAATGGCCGAGTACGACCCCTTCTGTACACTGCTTGATTCGGTGCAGTATGATTATAAACTTTCAACTCGATTCCGGTATGGGATAGCAGAATGACGGCTGTTGCGCGAAGGCAGTGATTTGTGTATGTGTATGGCAACTTGGCATTCTTGGATATGTTTTTTCATCACTTGTCACAGTGAATTTTTGCCAACGCATCGTGACTGAAGTGAGGTGTACCCAACAGAATCGGGGATATCGACGACAGATTTCGGATGTTGAAAGAACGATTCATTATTGGGATTCATGTGGGATTTGTACAATTTGAAGGATGAAACCGGACACAAAAGGTAAGATTTCAACATTTTTAATTGATTTGATATGCTTAGGCTTGTGTCAGTGGGATTTCCTAGACTGCATTAGTACCTTTTCATTGTTACTGATTAGTATTTATTTTTTGCTATTTTAGTATATCATGATATTATCATTCAGTGTTAGATCAGATGTAAATCATGTTGAAAGCTGTTTTTTTGAGAAAAAATAACTATATTTGCTTTTATGCCTTTGATAATTCTGTTTAGAAGCCGTGTGACAGTCTAGCGAAAGGGAGGTAACTAACATGTAACTTCCTTTTGGTTTGTTTACAAAATGTTAAACGATGCACACCTCTGAAGAAAATTGTGTTTCTCTCAGTTGCTTTCGATAATGACCCATCAATTATTTCCCTCAGGCCATTCTCATCAACCTTAGCAAAGCGGGACTGTGGAGGGACGCTCGGTGTACAAGATGGAGCCGGGTCAGCGTTAGCGCTGGAATTTCGAAGTGGAAACGTCCGGAGTGCTGGGATTGGTGTATTTTGGAAGATCAATATCTAGAAACAAGTATCATTAACTTATTCTTTGGCTGAATAATAATCTTTAAACTTGGAATATTGTACCAAATTAAATACACGAATGCTTTAAATTTGCGGAGCAGTTCATTTGTGAATAAACATCATTGAAGGATATTATTTTATGGCTCTTTAATCACTTTACTATTATCTGATCACATATGATTATGTGCCATGTGATTGTATTACACCATCATCTTTGAATAATTCTTCCAAGAATTTGTCGTCTTCAAAGATTGTATCAAAATCCCAGAGAAAGAATTTGAGGTGGTAATGTTCCTCAATTATGCAAATTCATGCAGCGAAAATAGTACGGTATTAGTGCCAACGTATTAATGTGCGGTTATTAGGCCATCATTTTCAGGTATGTCGAACAATATTCGACAAGGGTAATTAACCAATCAGATTGCGGAAAGCACTCACTATTGGTTTACAATTCCATACGATCCGTCGCATGTAATTGGGTCTATTTCATGTAAGTACAACAATACTCTGTGTAAAAGGAAACAACCAATGGCATATATTCTTCAAGTGTGGTTCGGTGTACAACTTACCAATATGTAATACGTTCTCGAAGCTCGAAATATAATCCACTAAGCTGCCAGACACCCATTATGGTTTTCCAATCCACCACCACATATCAGAAATAAAACAATAGTTAGAATGATTTTTCTGATATGTTGTGTACTACCACGGAGCCAAATTTTATGCAAAAGTATATGAGATAAATGTTACATTAAAGAATAGTCAAAACGTTATTGGGGTTGTGTATGAAACTAACATACAATGATTTATGATGTTGTTTCCAATGCAGAGACAGTACCGTCAGCACGAAACACCGGAAAACATACGATCAAACAGTGACAAAAAAATCCGCACTGAAATATGTAACTGTATCCTGGTGTTACACTGTCTGATTATAGATGATGTTCATTGTGGAACACTATTTGGCAGGCAGAGGCGGTGTTGACTTGACAGGCAGGCTTGTTTGTCACACAAATATATATTTGTTGACCCTTAGAGATATGAGCGTTTAGTACTGGGTTTTGACCAAGCCTTACTGGGGCCGGCAAATGACCATTATGGATTCATAAAAAGGGCTGTTACTGTTTATCAGCTGTCACAGGCTGATATGTGACATGTGTCACCACAATTTACAGGACCAAAAGCTGGATAGTAAACCATTGAAATAATCGTAAATACAGTAGGTAATACATGCCATGACCGGATTTACGTATGTTTTCAGATATTTCCTTACTTCTGGCATATATATCCTAGAATCTATACCTTTGAAACATATGCTCATCGTACATTTTTGTATGCACAAGCACCTCGTTCATGTATGCCCTGACCGGATTGTCAGGGATTTCCAAACATGAATTGCAAAACAGATATCCCAGTAAATACATGATCATACAGTATTTCCAATGCATTCCTTTGAATTTCAATGGGTGTTTACATTTCCGATTTAGTTTATTCGGGTTGGAAACATGTGAATTTACTTAGGTTGGGAAACACATGTAAATTTGCAAATTTGCAAATATTTACACACCTTAGATATTTATGTATCATACCGGATTTCAGGGGTATGTATATGAACGGTTCATACGCCTTCATGTTACCTGTACTCAAGCAAGATGATCATATATATCCATCATGTGAATTACTTGGTTCATGTAATTTCATTTTCACACGTTTTAATACCTTTGAAATCAACGTTTACATGACCTCAATATTCTTATCACCAAAAGAGCCTGACAAAGAAAGCAGTATTACGCAAGCTAACGCGCCTTATCGAGCTGCACTCGCTCTTGCTACCAGTATCAGTTACACCTTGAGTAGTAGATATAATGATAGTCCGAGACCAAGTCCAACAAAAGCCTCTGTAAAGCTTTATTTCACAAATAAAGCTTTTGTCAGACCCTTAGATCTCGCCGCCATTGCATATACTACTTTTGAACCCCCAGTTAACTTCCGGACCCCACGTGACACAATGGTGTTGCTATGACCGCGAACTAGCACTTTCCTGATCACATGACACTATTGTGATTACCCTATGTCGTGTTGACAGGAAACAGTTGGTTACAGGATACTATTTGGATTACTTGGTAAGTGTTAAATATTTTGCTTGGGTGGCAACATTGTGCCGTACGGTATGATCAATAATTCCTCTCTAACGGCTGTGCCACGCCTGACTTTGGTATCGTTTTTGTCTAGCAGGTGTGACGCAGCACCAATGAACTCCCACCCGGGGTCGACTTGCAGCTCTGTGGGCCAAGTCAGCGTACTGCGTTTGTATATGCGTTCGATTCGCGGGCTACCTGGGCGAGATCTTTGTCGCGGTCGGCTTCCTTGTAGCGACTGTGCCACGCCGCGACGGTTAGGGCATAGGCACGTAGCGTGGTGCCGGTAAATAGATCTGCCACAGGGCTTGTTTTTCAAGCAACACTTTGGCCTCGTTTGGGGGTACTCGTGCCATTTTAGCCAGCTTATGTATGGCTCTAGCTCCTTTCCAGAACCCATGCGGGCTGTAGTAAATAGCCTCAAACTTTCTTTGGTTCCTTGACATCGTTGTCACAGGGTATCGTATACATATATACAACTATGTTCTTGGTTCCAATTTTCTCATGCCCGTACGCGTACGTGTTGATCCCATCAATAGCTATCCAATGCTTAGTGTCCATCGGCGACAGGGACGTCTTGTTTATCGTCAGTCCGTATATCCTATGCCCATCACTTCTAAGAGTGTTCATTTTATGCCTAAAGGTACGGGTCTTGAACAGGGCTTCCTTGAATCTGGCGTGTTTGATGTGTTGTTTAACCACATACTTCTTAACACCCTTCGCCTTTCGGATCTCACCATTGTCGGCCTTCAGGATGGAGTACATCTTGGGTCTCAAGCCTATGTACTCGGCTATGGGCGTGCCAGCACACTCGTCCTTCATCTTACCTAGGACCTTTGTATTTACCGTGCTGTGTATGGCATGGCCCTTGGGGTAGTCGCTGGTGTCGTACAAATCGAGGCGTTTCTTCATGTCCTCGTACACATCCTTGGTTCGAATCTCCATCAGCAGGGAATCCGTGTCAGTGTACAGCACTTCACACCTGTCGCCGTACTGTTTCTTCAGTTCGTTGTAGAAAAAGTCGTACATCAGGTGTTTGGATAAATCGAGGATGCTCATCCCCACATAAACAGGCCGGTTGAATTTGATGTGGCTTTTCTTCATGTGTAGGGCCACCAGGTCGTCGGTGAATATCTTGCTCCGGTTGAATGCCGGGCTGGCTATCAGTCTCCTGAGCTTGTCTTCCTCTTTCGACCGAACCAGCTTCACGGTCACACGTTTCCTCAGGTTCTCCATTGTCTTACCGAACACCGGGTTGTTCATGAGCTTGTAGAGGTTTTCTCAAAGTCACTGGTGGCCAGCTTTCGCAGGTCCGTGTTCATTCTGATGTAGGGCTCCATCCAGGGGCTCTGGTTGAACACGAGCACCCTGTGTAATTTGGTCAGCCTCATACCCAACGACAGGTACAGCTGTAGGTTGCGATAGTGAACGATGTACTTGGTCTTATTCATTAAGTTGGGCACTAGTTTTTCAACGTCTGCAACACTGGCCACCTAGCAAGTTATGTTGGTACTCGGACATCCAGTCTGGGTTAACCTTCATACGTTCGGATGCCAGGGGGTAGCTGTTGTGCGATGTGTGTAGTGCCTTGGGGTATTCCAAGTCCACCTCGAGGATATAGCCTTTGTTCGAGTCCAGCGCGATGCTCATAACATCCATCTCGTGCGATGCCCATTCGAATCCCCCCTGTGGGTAGATACTGGCTCATGGCCCAGCCATACAGGTTGTTGGCATCGAGGTAGAGAATATGATTGGTTGGCTTGCTCGGGTCGTAGCCCTTCACGTATTGATTATTTGCTTTCGCGTATCGTTTGGTAGCCATGGAAGTCCCACCTCGCAAGCCTAACTCAATGAATAGGTGCATTTCGTAATTGGTGAGCAATTCCAACTTAACTCCGGTCTTTTTCGGCAATGCATCCCAAGATAGGCCTTGGCTGATGTAGTACCATGCAGGGTCGAGTTGATACTGCTTAAAACACGTCCTCCTTAACGTCTCGAACACGTCGGCTAGCAGGAGTACATCTGTCCTCAAGTACAGGTCGTGATAGTCACCCAGATTCTTACATCCTAGTTTATTCCATACGTTAATCGCGTGGGAATAATCGTCTTGGGTGATTGCCGAGTCGGTCAGGTTGCAAGTCTAGGTACGACCCGCCTCTGAATGGCACATAGTTAGCTATGTCTAGATAGACATTGTGTGTGTAGCGTTCTAGGTATTCTCGTATCTGCTGAAAAGTGATATCGATTGACTCGTCTATAGTCTCGGTATGAGTCATGACTTCTTGTTTACCTCGGAAGTAAGGCTGAACGTACTCAATGACCCCATCCCCCCCATTCTGCTGTTTATCGAGCGACATTTTCACTGAGATTTGAAACTTTATACTTCCAAAATCGTTTAGTTCCTCATTGACTTTATCAGCGATTAGAGTCTTGATATCGGCGATGTCTATGTTCTTATCAACATGCATGCGCCAGCCTCTCAAATAGTTACCTACAGCGCGCTCAGTGGGTATGAACTGTAGGTCAATAGCTCTATTCTGCCGTAATAGTTCTACAAGCCGTGGTTTCCTCATAAGGGAATAACCTACTAACCCCAACCTCGCGGGCCTCCTGTTTGAGTTGTTTCACAGTGTGGGGCTTTGCTACGGGGCCGTGTAATAATAATGCGACTAAAACCGGCCTTTAGCCAAGTTTGCTGGTTTGCTCATTCGAGAGTAACCAACTACACCTCGCTCTCTCGTGATCTGCTTGAGCTCCCGAGTAGTAGACATTGTTATACCAAAGCGTATACAATCTCTAATTGGGCCACCGACAAGGGAGGTATCTCCTCCAACCCTCAAAAACTGATAATCATCGATTATACCCTACCCGGAACATTGCTAAGCTGAAACACCCTATAGGCCAAGGGGTTGGTCGGTCTTGAGCACGAGCTTAGCATGTTTAGTTTCAGCGAGCTGTTTCTTCACCGATTCCCTATCATGTTTATTCATCACATCGTTCTCTCTCAAACACTCCTCGAACGAATCCCTGTCCTTGTAGTTGAATAAGGCCACCCATCGCGTCTGCTCCCTGAGGTCTTTCAACACAGAGTTGAACTTCTGTGTAGCCAGACACTGTGATTTGCGTGTCGGCCGGAGAAGGCCAGGTACGATAGCATGTCTCTCTTTTTTGTTATCTCACGATAAGCGTTGCAGTCGCTGGAGGTTGTTAACGTTGAGGATGCTATCAATGCTCCAGTTGATCTCCCGAGTGCCATCAAACGCTACCAAGACGTGTTGGAATACGCCAGGTCGAAAGTCGACTACGTCTTCGACGTGGGACTGTACATGGCTCCGAGCGATATGCAACTGAGAGTAAAAAAAGTGGTGGGCTACAACAACGAAATAGTCATAGCCACGGCAGACCAAAAGTTGGGCGTCAACCCCGATGTTAACACCCCCACGTCCCACCACCCACGACCGGTGAAACGGGTATAGTGGCGCCACCCCCAGAGCCTAGGGTTCAACCCACACCCCCACAGCCCCAACAGCAGGCGTCCAATCAGCAGCACATCGATCGTAAAACAGCCCTGGTGGTTGGTGGGGTAGCGGTTGGGGTGGGACTCATTTGGTTAAAAATTCCTTAGCCGCTACGTACACCAGACCCACCACGGCGACGATGGCTGCCCACAGGTTTTGACCGAGCCACGTGGCAGTTTTAGCCAGAGCGCTCAGCAGCCACGAGACGATGCTACCCAGGATGCCGGGTAGGGCTTCGGCGGCCTTACCAGCCAGTTTAGCCAGGGCCTCCCCGAGGGATTTCAGGTGTTTTTTTATCCAGTCTCTGACGCCCCCACCACTTGGTGGTGTTGGTGTACCACTGCCGCCGGCAGGCGTCAATGACACCACCAGGGTTGATATGATGAAGCCCAATGCAGTCAGAATGCTGGCGATGGTGATGCCTTGCTCTCGGAAGAGGATTCGGATCCTGTCAGCTAGCGTGGTGTCCTCATTTAGGACTCGATCGATGGTTTCCCGTACACGACTGATCTGGGATCGGAGGGCTTCCCGGTTCGAGGAAGCGGATTCCAACCGAGTCCGTCTCTCGTCTTCCAAGTTTTTTATTCTCTCCTCGATACGACGTTTCATATCATCGTCGTCCGTTTCGGTGAGTTTTATTTTCTCGCGAGCGATGTGCTCGTCGACTTCGTTCAGTTTCCCCATGTTGTTCACGAGTTCTCCGCGTACATGTTTCAAGGCTTCGTCTAGGCCTCGCAGTTCCCTCAGGGTAAATTCGAGGCCCGGCAAGGGGTTGGCATGGTACGTGGCCAATATTTTTTCGAGACTGTCTGATGTTTCTTTAGCACGTTGGGGTACGTCCCCGGTATTACTGAGTTCGGCCCTGGCTGCTTGCAGATCTTGGACGACCTTCGGGGGAAGCTTAGGCCGTGCGCCACCGTAATCTATGAAGCCTAGTTCATCACGGATCAGTTGACTCCCACCAGGGCGACTGGTGAGTGTTGACAAAGCATACGGTCCTTTCCCGTCTTTTTTCATGATATCGACCCCCGGGTGAGCCTTCAATCGCAGCGTGCCCTTCTTATCGATGGTAAACTTGGCATAGTCTCGTACCAACGGCTTGATGTTGTCTCTCTTTTCAACTGCGTCGTAATAATCGTCGACGGCCGGCTGTACAAGTTCAGCACTTAAGGGGTTGTTCGTGAATGTGGTGTCATCCTCCCCGAACGCCTGGGCACTATCATCCCACATATCATCCATCGGGATGTACTCATGACCGCCTTCAGCCATTATTTATATTAAACTTTTATATTTTATCTATATAACAATGTATGGTAGGAAACTAGATCCTTTCCGAAGATCAAGAGAGCCTCTAGGCGTCAGAGCCGTGCGCCAGTCGGTGACCATCACCAACAATCCCAGCAAGATAGACCAGAACCAAACGCTGCTGGTTAGATTCCCAAACCTGGGTGAGAATGACCTCATCGTACCAGGCACGGTTCGACTGACGTTCAACCTCACGTTGACCTCCGACAACGACAAACGCGAGCTAGTGCGGAACGTAGGTCGAGCCATCATCAAGAAAACCACCATCAAGATCAGCGGTAACGAGGTGCTGAGCATCGACGACAGCGACGTGTTTCACTGCTACGGGGACCTCTGGAAAAGCGAGGGAGAACGCGTCAATGACGTGTACCAGGGCATCAGCAAATCGACCCGGTTGCGCATGGGGTATGGCTTCACGGCAGACCAGCTAGACAAGATCTCGGACGGTGAAAAGGCCATCGCCCAAGCGTACGGGAACAGGTTCTGCGTGCCGCTCGACTTCGAGTTGCTCACGGGACACGCGCCGTTTTACCAGGCCGCGCTGGGTGATAGGCTTGAATACGAGCTCACGTTTAACGACTACAGCAAAGTCGTGCGTACGCCGAACGGTGATGAGGCCAGTTACACCATCGACAACATCTCTCTGGAGTTCGACATGGTCACTAGCCCGGAGCTGGCCAGGCAGGTTCGAAGCCAGTACTCGGGGAAGGTGGCCATCCTGTACGATCGCATACTGCGGCATAGATCGGTCGTGCGGGATAAGAGCGACACTGTGTGGAATATCAACCTGAACGTGCCGGCGCGATCGATGAAAGGTATCCTGGTCGTCCCCGTGGAGGATTACGAGCCGTTCCGAAGGGACAGCGAGAAGTTTTTCAACCCCGAGATTGAAAAGGTGGAAGTGACCATCGAGGGCGTGCCCAACCAGCTGTTCAGTCATGGTATGAGGGCATACCAGCAGTGGGATGAGATAAAAAAGCTACCGGCTATCAAACAACACCCATACATAACCAAAGACCTGGACCTATCCTCCGTGCAGATCGGTGAATACCTGACCACCAAGTACGCGCTATGGTTGGACATGCGATCCACGGATGACGATAAACTGCACGGTAGCGGTCGCCGCATCGACAACGGCAGCGAGGGGATAACAATCCAGATTACCAAGAAGGCTCAACCCGCGGGCAAGTTGAAATTATATCTGTACGTTATTATGGACGCGCAACTTAATATAGACAATGGGAGATTCGTGCAAGCCATCTACTGATTTGCCTGGCGGCAGGCCACTGCCTGGCGGTGGCCATCTATTGATTTGCCCGCGACCCACACTGCGCCATAGTGTGCGGGCAGACGGGCTGTGGGAAGACCGTTTTCGTGCTGGATATGTTGGAGGGGTACTACCGGGATGTGTTCGACAACATCGTTATCATGTGCCCTACTCTGCACATGAATAGAACGTACACGGAAAGACCTTGGGTGATGACGGACCCGGACGTACACAAAGTCGACCCGGGAACACGTCTGCAGGACTGGTTGAAGGCTTATCACAACAAATTTAAAGGGGAGTCGACGCTGTTCATACTGGACGACTGCAGCGCTAATCGTGAGATAACAAAAAAGAGAGACATGCTATCGTACCTGGCCTTCTCCGGCCGGCACGCAAAGCACAGCGTCTGGGTACTAACGCAGAAGTTCAACTCGGTGTTGAAAGACCTCAGGGAGCAGACGCGATGGGTGGCCTTATTCCACTGCAAGGACAGGGATTCGTTCGAGGAGTGTTTGAGAGAGAACGATGTGATGAGCAAACATAGATAGGGAACGTGTGAAGAAACAGCTCGCTGAAACTAAACATGCTAAGCTCGTGCTCAAGACCGACCAACCCGTGGCCTATAGGGTGTTTTAGCTTAGCAATGCTAAGTAAATGCTAAGCAAAGCTAAGCAAATGCTAAGCAAAGCTTAGCAATGCTTAGCAAATGCTTAGCGTTTAGCTTATCAGTTACAGTTATAGTTATGGTTGTTTTTGAAGTGCTAGTCGTGTGCAACTTAACCTTCATTTCGCTGTGTTTCACCTGCATCGGGTATTATATTATTAAAACTAAAACTTACTTATTACATTATAAGATGGAGTGTGATGAATTGCTAGAACAACTGTTGGAGTGGGATAAGCGAGGGGACGATGATAAGCGAGGGGACGATGATAAGCGAGAGAGACTGGTGGCGCTGGCTGTTGGTGGCAAAGCCAAACATTACTTTGGGGACTACACTCCCGATAAAATTCACAAAATGTCAGCCGAAGAAATCGATAAGCTGTACGCTAGATACGAGGCTAGACTCGGGGCCGAGATGACAAAGACTATAGGATCGGCTATGACCCAGATATACACTGGTATTGCGTCGTACTTCCTTCCCATTCCCCAGGAACGCCGACTTTACCTGTGGGAGGACCTTGAGAAAGACCCTTTTATTGAACACGCCTTGAGCTCTATCAGCTGCGTGCTGTACCACAAATACGGTATGTTTTTAGCCCCGGTGACGGCGGCGATTATCACAGCAAAGCATTGCCAATTTAAGGAGGGGAAAAATAATAATAATAGTATACAAGATGGATGCTGCCCAAGAAATGACACAGGAGGTGACCCCAACTGGAGTTGGGGATGGAGGTGACCCCTTCAGAGGAAAGGAGGTGACCCCTACAGTCACCAGGCAGAAGAACCCTAAGAGAGTAGCTGCCGGTAAAAAGGTGGTCTAACCAACATAAAAGTAACACGTGGAGCCGGGCTCCACTCCTGTTGATTGCAGGCGCAACTGCTGCCGTGGCTATCTCATGGTTATATAATAAACAACCACCCAGGAGGAACCCTCCCCCACAATTAGAGGTCAACCCACATATCATGTTATAAATATATATTTTTATATCATATACATAATGTCTGAGGGGAAAACGTTCGTCAACGATGCATACCACGCCACCGTGGTCGCCAGTCTAGCTGTAGGGTACGCTCGGTTGACCAAAATGGTGCTTAAACAACCGACTATCAAGCTAGATTTCAACCTGCAGGATATGGGTATGCTCATAATGAACCTGGGTATGGCGATGGCCACCAAGGACATCCTAGTAAAACAAGGGATCCTACCGGAAAATATTTTGAAGTAAATGTAATCTATATATAGGATGGCTACGATCGCCATGATGGTCGGCGGGGCGTTAGTAAACGCCCTGGCATTTTCCGGGAGTAATTTCCTCTTCTCGAAACTACGGGAGTCACACGCGGCTGAGATACAGGCTGAGCGTAAGCGCCACGACCTGGCTGTTGGAGAAATTACAAGCAGCGCAATCTGAGTACGCGAAAAAACGTGTACAGAGGATCGATTACATTAACGAACAACTCAGGCGTGAGAACCATGCCGTTAAAACATTCCATGATGTCGACGACGCAGCGAGAGAATACTACCTACTAACAGGTAAACAGCTAGAACCACTCCATAAGCCCACACTCGCTCAGTACTACACACCATCCCCGGGGCAAATGGACCGGGAATTGATCTTTATCGCGCTGGGTCTAGCAGCGACTGCGTTGGTTGCAAAACAATTAGACTAAGTACTCATATAAGTATACCAAAGATGAGACCTGCCCCGTACCAATGCGAATACATACTTATGGGGAAGACCGAGGCCTGTGGTAGGAGATGCAGGACTGAGGGGTACTGTTGTTTTCACATGGAAGCCCGAACTACACGTGTTCTGTGTGTGGTATCGGGGTGAAAGGTCACTACTGCCTATGCAAAGCTCACGGAGCAAACGTAGTCAGACATCATCTTATCTACGAGAAGAAAAAAAGACTACAGAAAAGAACGTAGGCGCCTCCTCAGGATAGCAGTGTAAGGCTGGTCCCTTTGCCAGTGACCCAATTAGAGACTGTGCACACCTAGGTTTAACAATGTTCGTGGAAGTTGAGCCCAGGGAAAGTCGTTGCCTGAGAAGCTGGCAGATGGATGTGGGGGAAAGTATAGATATCAGTGTCCTCAAACCCATGATTGTCAGCGAACTATATAAGGGGTGCTCATTTACAATCATGGTGAAAGTAGGGTTTGATGTACCGTGGGCTGGGCACACTTGGAATTACTTTGATGGTGGACGAGTAGATGTGCATGGGGAGATAGATATACTTGTTGACGACTCGTTGCAAATAATACAAAACACCCTACTATGCTGCGCATGTTCCGGGTGGGTCGAGGGTATAATCGATAAGGTCTATCTAGATATTTACTAAAGGATTTTATGGGCGCCTCACTATTTTTTATCAAGGTTGGAAGAGTTACCTCCCTTGCCGGCGGCCCAATTAGAGATTGATATACTTAGGTGTGTACACAATGTCTACTACTCGGGAGCTCAAGCAGATCGCGAGACAGCGGGGTGTAATTGGTTATTCTCGAATGACCAAACCACAGTTGTTGAGATTACTTAACATACAAGCCCCACCCACGGTAAAACAACTAAAACTCCGAGCAAAAGAGCTAGGGTTGACAGGTTATTCCCGCCTGGGGAGAGCCGGGTTATTCGCATTATTAAACGACCCCGTAGCGCTGAACGGTCACCTTCAGCTCCCTACTGTAAAACAACTAAAAGTTGAGGCACGCGATTTGGGGTTAGGTGGTTATTCCCTATGAGGAAGCCACAGCTTGTAGAACTATTACGGCAGAATAGAGCTATTGACCTAGAGTTCATACCCACTGAGCGCGCTGTAGGTAACTATTTGAGAGGCTGGCGCATGCATGTTGATAGGAACATAGACATCGCCGATATCAAGCCTCTAATCGCTGATAAAGTCAATGAGGAACTAAACGATCTGGGAAGTATAAAGTTTCAAATCACAGTGAAAATGTCACTCGATAAACAGGTGGGGGGAACCCCCGCTGGGGGTCACTGAGTACGTTCAGCCTTACTTCCGAGGTAAACAAGAAGTCGTGACTCATACAGAGACTATAGACGCATCAATCGATACCAGTTTTCAGCAGATACGAGAATACCTAGAACGCTACACACACATGGGGTCCGGGTGGGTTGTTGATAAAATCGATAATGTCTATC